AGATTAAAGCGTCAAATAACAAGACCCAGAGCCCAGAAACTGTCGGCTGTCAGGCAACAATGCTAGATTCCTGTGCACTGTGCACTGTGCACACCTCTAGCACTTGTGCCATCTAAGCAAATGGAGATCCACAAAATGAAAGTGGACACTGAGGGATACTTGTAGCCTCGGGTGCAGAGGCCGAGTGTTAAGGCGGAGAAAAGAGTGCACTTTGTATTCTATTCTGTCTCTTTGGTCTCTGCTTTGTATGGTTAAATAAACTGTGTCATCCGACATGCAGGCTACTCTGTGTGATCAGCTTCTCATTCACATACAGTATTCAAAGTGTTGTTCTGCAGGAGACATCTCATTGGCAGTTGTTGTCAGACAGCGGCACACCAGCCTGCAGGATGCACATTATCTTATAAGGTAGAACTCCAACCTTGATTAAACGATTCATTCTCCTCCACCTGTCGGCCGCCGGCCCCTGCCACTCACTAAAATTGTCTACAATTTGCTGCTATTGATTTCTAGCTTGTCATACCCTGTGGGAAGGAGATAACCCAATCAAATGCAGTCTGTGCCTCCAACATGAGAAACACAATTTCTCTCTGCAGAATCGTCATGTTGCTTCAACGTGTTTGAAAGCCCTCAGGTGAATATCTTTGAATTCCTGCAATTGTCTTCATTTCTTTATCTTAGTTTGCCATTTGCATATAAAAGGGGGCATCTGTAAATCTACAGAGGAGCTGACAATCTGCAACCCAATAAAACCATTTTTTAGAAATGGGATTTATCCTGAAAGACATCTCTCATGCTTATGCTAACATGAAATGCCCATATAATACCATTTAGTGGCAGACGTTCCTTCATTCGGTGTTTAAATACCTTTGAGAGGTTTACTTTCTCCTCCCTTTGATTCATGTACCTGCCTGTAGGCTACAATTAGTGTGAGGGAGAAGAAAACACAGAGACGCCTTGAGAGTCTAACAGTGAAACTTTCTATTTGTTCTGCAGTTACCTATTGTGCACTTCTTTTGCTTTGCCATAGCTTGGACATTTAACAACAATAAATAAACTAAATGCTGACATCTAGGCAGATGCTAACAGTGTGATCATGCTGCAGTTGGGCCAGCTCTCCTGGGCTCTGGTAATCACACTGACAAAATAATCTCCACTCTCAAGGCCTGAGAACTCATTTGCAGTGAGCTGTATTTAAAAGAGACACCCACTATCCAAAGTGTAATGTATTTGGTTTAATTTAATATGATGGCACTGCCTCTGTTCCTTTTCACTCATCTATTGATTTCTAGTCAAACGTGGTGTGCATAGTAGCAGGGCATGTACAAGTACATCCACAGACAGTGCTGTTTAACTGTTTAACCAATAAAAGCATCATACTTCACTATTTAATCTCGGAGAACTTTTATCTTCCATAAAGCAACTACATCATATATCTAATCACTGCAGACTGGGGCAGTGGTTAATCACTAAACAGCATCGATAGGTCTGTTCTCTCCGGGAATTGATCGGCCGCTCATCTGTCGGCTGCAAGATGATGCTGAGATGAGCAACTGATCACCCAGCTGCAGGTCCCCACGTCTCCCAGAAAATGGAACTGGTTGGAAAACAACGTATTTGAAATCTGTATGATTATTCTTTTCCCTGCTAATCACTCCTTTTATATTTTCTTATTCCTCGTGGCCAGTGAAAGAGAACATTTTGTTAATTTTGTATAAAGATTCAGTTGGACTCAAAGATGAACTGATTTGATTTTGGTGGTCGAAGGTCAAAGGTTGAGCTAATTTCTTTTGCCCTATCAATGTGTATCAGGAGAACAATTTGAGAAAATCCTTTCAAATCTGGTACAAATGTTCACTTGGAATCACGGATTAACTGATTTCATTTGGATAGTTAAAGGTCTACGTACAGTGGCCTCACAAAACATCTTTGTGACCTCTTGAACATATCTCAAATCTGCCTTTGGGGAATTTTGACCAGTTTTTAACTCAAAGATTAACAGTCTGTTACATGTGCACTCACTCTAACAGACAACACGTAACTGATTATAAGAGTATAACTGTAATTAAAGAGCAAGTATCTAAAAATAAGTAGGAGCTGAATTAGGTAGTATTGCACATAATAGTAATACAGATATAACAAATATGATCTTTACTAATATCTGGATTTTCACATGTGCAATACTCAAGGAGCACTCACACACACACACACACACACACACACACATGTATGTATGTACCACTGCACTGAAATGTGCTCTTAAGATAAAGCAATTGAATATCTCTAAATGTATAAACAGCTGCTGTCATGTCCAAGTAATTGCTTCTAAATTCGGTAACTTCTAAAAATTATTTTGACCTTACCGTTCTTTAGGAAAAACAAAGAACAGACAGAAATCATAACCACATTTATTGTATTTCGGGTCTGAAAATAAAAGCAGTTTATAGCAGATTTCTTTTTTAATGTCATCTAACAATTCAGCCTCTGGTTTCTGGTCCTTTTGATGAGAGACAGGACAGAAAAACAGGACCGGACGCTCGGCAGAGATCACATGTAGTTGCCTCCTGCTTATTAACGTTTTCAGAAATGATCTGCAGTCTTCCTCCTCCTCCTCCTCTTAACTGGCCGTCGGATGTTTGTGTGGAGCTCAATCAAAGTAGAAAGGAAATAACACTGGTTATTTGACAACATCATGTACTCAGACAAGTCCTTTTTTCATTAGTCTTCATGGCAGGCAGCGTGATGAGCTGTGTGAGCTGTGGTGAGGCAGCTTCTATATGATACAATCTTCTGTTCAACCAACACAAACAAGGTCTTATACTGAGACAGACAGACGCTGTAGGCAGAGTGCAGCTCACAACTTTACAGATCACATTGTCGCTGTTATGAATGCAGATCGTAGTGGCTAGTGAAGGGTGACATCCAATCAACACACTTGACATGCACATTCATTTTACTAGCATAGCTTGTACCACATCATACAGGTATCAAGGGCTTGGAGTTAGGTGAGACAGCTTCATCTTTCTTTATATAGTACTTTTATTAGCCTCATTCATACTAGAGTTAAAAAGCAAACTTGAATCCTAAAAGCTTTACAGTTATTCATCAAGGACACTGAGATGTGGACAAAGGATCCACATTGGATAGAATCACTGTTCTTCATCTCCTTGAATTTTGCTAAGATAATACCAACCACTGTATTAAAGATATTCAGCTCTTTATGCGATTTATGTGCAGGTTTTTCACCATGTTTCAGAAATGGAGGCAAAAGGGAGCAGTTCAGAGTGTGTAAAGTGGAGGAGAAGAAAATCTTCAACAGAATAGAAAAGAGACACTTGATAAAGCTTCATCATAAAGCTCCATAATCTCTACATTATCTGAGAAAATTGCACAATATAAATGTCATGACAAGTGGGTGTTTAAAGCAGACTCTCAAGAAATACCTGATGTTTCATATTTTAGCTGATAGATCACATTGAGGATTTTTTGTAAATCAGGGGCCTTGAAGGGGCCACAATTTACATAGTGAGGCCATTAAGTGTCCAACATACATGCGCAACTGATTCAATTAGATTATTCCTTGTTTACTGTTATAGCTTTGTGCAAATAAGTGACACATCATTGAAAATATTTTTATTTTATTTCAGAAAAGGTCAAAAACTGGATCCTCAGATCAAAATATAACAAACTAAATAAGACTGTGTTAGATAACATAATAACCCAGACTGCAGTTATAAAATCACAGCATGCAAATACCTCAAACTGAAACAACAAGAAAATAACCAATATATCAATATATTATCACATTCTGGCAAAATATGATTTAGTGCCACTCATAGTGACTGCCGGTTGTTTGTTGTCAAGCATTACCTCTGCCCTTATTCAACTACGCTTTTCAGAATTTATAAATGTTTTCTTTTCAAACATGTTGAGGGGACTGATACCTGGGTGTGTGGAATTTGCTGGAGCTTGCTTGAAAGGAATGTTGTGCCTTGTACTGAATGCCATTTTAGTTATTATTGTTGGACTGAAAATCGTTTTATGTTTGTTATTTTCACTGATGAAACTCCTGAAACTCTTTCATCAGTTTGTCTGTATTATAGTGTTTCAGTAGAGCACGACTGTAAACTAGTTCCATTTTTTTTCTTGCATTCCAAAAGGTCACAGTAAAATCTCAACGACAATTTGATTCAGTGGAAATATGAGAAAAGATTAAACAAAGGTCACATTTAGAAACAAACCTGATTAACTTTTATTATCAGTGTGCTTAGAAAAAGTGTTTTAATGTAGAAAACTAGATTTAACGAGTAAGATTCTTTTTCCAAACCGGTTTTTTGCAATAAAAAATACAAGTAAAAGCTAGTTTGGTAATCAGTGTTTTATCATTATGATTATTATTCATGATTAATTTATTATTTGAGTCCTTGCTGCAAAGAAAAATGCTTCAACTAAAGCACGGAGAATCTCTTCTGCGGGACAGTGAGCTGAGGCAGTGGCCCTGCACTGAAGAACTTCACATGGTCGTTTGAGCTTCCAGATGGTCACATTGTGCTTCCTGCCACATCGGCTACAATCACCGTCGGACAGGAGGCGGCATGGTCCCAGCTTGCACTGTATCATCCACTGTAATGTGCACATCTGCCCAGCTTGGAATGCTGAGGAATCACATCTGTGCTGACTCACAACTCACAATTGGTTTCATGTATTCTGCCTTTCTAGTGTAATTATAATACTGTGTGGGTGTGTGTTGCCAGTAGACCCCCATACAGTAAGCACTTTGCCTCCGTTGTTCTACTACTTCTTCGCAGCTCCAGACATCTTGTTTACATCCCCACATTTTTTCGTCAAGCAGTTGTTGAATGTCAAATGTCAATTTTGCCAAAATGCTGTGAAAACTCCAATAATTCTACTGTGGAAAATCCCCTCCCACTTCCCCTCCTTTTCTTACCTGGCCTACAACTTCCACCTGAAGCTCCGCCTTCAGAAGTTATACAGGAAGCCCGCTCACCTGGTTCACTCCTCTCTGAACAAACAGACTCACCACATGGTGGAGGCCTCATCCTTTCAGGTCTGGACTGTGCACAATGTGAGTTTGCCTCGTTTGATGGTCTCATGGTGAAAGATTTGATTTATATTTTTGATAATTGTGTTAAGAAATGGTTGAGTCTTATTTCTTTAGTAGTTGACTTGACAACATTTAAGTTAGTAGATGGGCTCTTTGTTAGAAACCATTCCAAACTCATCCCACTATATATAATGGGTTGGAGCTCTTCTGTCCTAACAGACAACTAAAATATTAAAGGATAACATACTACATACTCACTACAGTGACTAAGGTCAGAATGCTCCACATGTTTTCATTTGATTATTGATTATTGAGTGTGATTATGTTCATGTTAGGATAATCAGAAAATGTTGTTTACATGGCAGTGTCAGACTATTCTCTTAATTGGGATAATATCAGAATATTTCCTATAAGTTTGATTTGGTGTCATACAAATCTAACTAAAATGAATTGGTGCCCATGTGAACATGACTACTGACACTGCTGTGTTCTTTTCCTTGTGTAGCCTTATTGTGTGTGTGTATGTGTGTGTGTGGCCGGCCGTCAGTCTGATCACCTGGTTTTGAATTTTTGCTCGCTGCTCTCCGGTTTTGTTTTCCTGCCTCGGATTGATTTCCTGTGTGCAACTTTTGATTCTCCTGTGAAGAAGTTTCCTTTTTTACCTGCACCTCATCTCCAGTGTATACTCTGCAGACGATTCCTTGCCTTCTGCCATTGTCACAACATCTCTGCAACAGCTGTGTGTATCAAAGTGTATGAGCCAATGCATATGTTGAGTGAATCTCTCGGTGTACGCAATATGTCACGTCTGTGTATCCTCTTTCTCAAGGTGTTTTTTTACTTTAAATTAACCTGATTTATGCTGCATTTCAAAATATGTCATCTTCCTAAACTCACAGTGCAGTCATACATGTTAGACACTTGATATCACTCTGGTAACAAGCTGACTGACATTCTACTCTGCACATCTGCACATGCTGCATGTCATTAAAGGAATTCATCTAAAATTCGAAATATCCTTCACCCCCGAATTAGCTCCAGGGAGATGAATTAATGCGACCATCACTTTAAAATAAATCAAAACATTTCTAAAATTATCTCTGCTATCAATTATGTATCGCCAGCTTTAATCTGATGTGCGGTCATATATTTTGAATCATAGATGATGTACGTGGAGATCCAGCTGCCTCCCTCATGTTGCAGGCTCTTGCAAACTCTTACGACCTCTGTGTCACATGCGGCTTATTAAAAGTAAATTCAACACTTATTTAAAACCCTATTTTACTCAAATGTCCTACAATCATATCAACTGAGGGTTTTGGTCAGTGAAGAGGATGCATATTTTTCATTTAGTCAGACTACCTACTAAATTTCCTTGGGCACTTCCTTCTGATTTGGTTTTAATCTACTGTTTGAAATATGTACTTTTTCAAATGAATTCCTCCACCGGGTCTGTGGAGAGATATTTCAAACCACTTGCTATTTGCTGAAGGATTATTATTCTCCTTCAACACCTGATAATGTCACCACTACAAGATATCAGAAAAATCCTTGATAATGAAGCCGAGGACACAAAAGACACCGCTTGAGAAATTAGAATGTGGAGAATTTTTTTTTTTAAACGGCCAAACCCCCCAGTCATGCTTCCATGGGGCTAATTTTCAAGTCAATGCAGGGATGTGAAACTACGCTCTGTGCCTGTGTGGAAGACACAACTAGTCAGTGTATGTGTTATTAGAAAAGAAAAACCTGAAAAGCCAGCTTTGGGAGTCAGTTTAAAGTGTCTCGTTATGCCTGGAATACAAACGCTGTATAGTTTGCTTTGCTCTGGTGTTGCAGTGGGAAAAGAAATGAAAACAAAAAATAAGGAATGTCTGTTTCTTTCTGTTTCTGAAATCAGTGGCGACACAGTCGGTCTGACAGCTCTGAGCCTCGACTGCTTCTGGCACCAGCTGCTGCATCGACCCAGCAGCCACACATAAAGAATGACTTCAGCCAAATGCAACAGCAACATAGATGTTTGAAGACAGTGTCATGACGGACAATGTATAATTCCACTATGAACTCCTTACACCAACTACAAATAGGTAAAACAACACAGGAGAATGTGTAGACATCCAACATCCATACTGCTGGATACGCCCTGGAAATGTCAGCAGTGTATTCCAGGGCCAACATCTAGAGACAATCATTCACATTACAGTCAATTTAGTGTCTCCAAACAACCTAGCCTCAATCTGCCTGTCTTTGCACTGCAGAAGCAAACACAAGTACCAAGAGAAAACTGTCATTGTGCCAGGATTGTAAACCTGTGCAGATACAGGGAGAACTGGGATTTGAATCAATAACCCTCTTACTGTGAGGTGACAATGCAACCACTGTTCTGATGTGCTGCCCAGGAGAAGTTCTTACAAGTGTCATGCTCTTGAGGCCCCCTCCCTTGATATTATTTCTGTTTCGTGGGTTCTGGCACTCGTACGCCACATGAAACATCTCACCAGAGGCCATTTATTTATTTGATTTTTGATTAACTTATTTTTCCTCTACTGGCGTGTCGATTAAAACTCAATGAGTGAGGATCCCTCTGGAATTGAACTTAATTAAATTACAGAAGCTGTGATATAAATGTGAGAGAAAAGTGAACATTTGATTGTGAAGCAGAAAATTCAGGCCTTTTTACACCTTAATGTCCGAACCAAGGTTCTTGTCTTTGTTACACTTTTTACATTTGATCTGGTTACTTTCGGTTTCATGTTGAAATGTAGGGAGCAGACCTAAGACTGGCTGTATGACACGTTCTGTCATCACCTACATGGTGCTGCCTTCATGATATTGATTGGTTTGTAGAAGGCTGTGTGTCTTATGTGTTTTTAAGTCAGTTGGCAGTGTCCATTTGGAGAAAAGGAATGAACCACCTGATTTTCATTGCCTCTGTAACATCATTATGGTATTACTATAATCATCATGGTTCTTCACATACAGTATATTGGTATCAATGCTTCTGTCAGAAGGTTATGTTATCACCTCTTTCTGCTTGTTTGTTCTGAATTAGCAGATCTACTGGACAGATTACCATGAAACATGGTGGAAGGGTGTGGAATGGATCAGAGAAGAACCCATTAAATCCTGATGTGGATTCAGATCAGGGAGTGAAGCCAGGATTTTTTGTTTCACTTTCTTTAAAATTGTGAGACAGGGAATTTTCTAAATTTTCATTGATTTCTCAGAGAACATTTTAAGGATTTTGATGAAAAACATCAGACATATTTAGGGGACTGGTATTTATCACTATAGATCCAAATAAAAACCTGGATCTAGTGAATTTAAATGTGGGTTAATAAGTAGACTGTCGGGATTTGAAGGAGATTCTAGTTCAGCCTACAAGTTCCACTGAAACTGTATCACACATACAAAGAAGAGAAACTCTTAAATGAATTTATAAAAAAGATTATGGATCAAATCTGAAAGACCTCTAGTGATGACAAGAATAATTACTCGCCCCACCTGCTCATGCTCCAGCTGCATCCAGCACGCTCCAGCTGTTCTCAGAGCTGTGAGTGGCAATAAGAAACCACTAACCAGTAAAAGTGAATCAGCCAGGCTGAGAGAAGTACATCAGTAAAAGATAAATAAAAAACATTCCCTGATTAGAAGTGGCATGTGGGCAGAGCCAGTGAAGTGCCTGACAGGAGAGAATACAATGAAACCATTCATTTCACATGTATGTAATTTCTATTTTAAGCCATTTTACAGAGAAGCCTTTGTTTAAGATGGAAAGTTTAAGATTGGTTACAAGCGAATTTATCAACTAAAGCTTTTTACATATTAAAGATATTAAGCCAATTGCTCTTAATGTACTTGATGAATCAATCAAGGACCAAGTAAGTGAATAATGAGCGCTAAATTAATGAGGTGCTCTTCATATTAAACAGCATGAAGTAGGGCTGTTGTCCCCCTTTATTTCTCCTGCAGGAGAGGACAGAGGAATCCATATTTATTAGTGACATTTCATGTGTGCTTATTCAGTTATGTGCTTCAGATAATCTTGTAAAACTTGTTTACAACCTCTCTCATCATTTCACTGCTCACTCTATGCCATGGACTTTGTTTAACTGCCAAAAAGAAACTAAATGTAAATGGGGTGTATTCTTTTTTACAGTAGCAGCTTCCCCCCAACCTTCAGTCCCTGCACCAGGCTAACAGATTCCAGACCAGTGTGTCCTGTTTGACTCTAAGCCCCATGTGTTAGAACAAGACTGTTGAATATCTTGTTTCTAAAAAGTCACTGCCACAACCAGAAATAGTGGCCAGAGCAGTGAAAATATCCAAGTCATAATAAAGTTACTATATGTATTTGAGAAAATATTGACTCATATTAACATTGAATGTGTAAATCTTAGATTAGATTAATCCAGCTCACACCACATACTCCTTATGATTGAGTAACCTTCTATCTCCTCATTTTAGAGAAAGTGAAAAAAAAAAGCCTGGATCTGCCCAATCTACAAGATTTCTCTGAAATCAGTTCAGTTGTGTTGTTAATTATCTTGACGGACAGGAAAACAAATGAACGGCAAAATAATTTCTTCTTAGTGGAGGTGAAAAATAGGTAAGGACTAGAGGATTGTATGTGGGTTTACCATGGAATTTATATAAAGATGGATGACATGACAGCTTCCCAAAGGTGAAGCCAAAGTGTCTTGAATGCCCCCTGGGGGCTGGCTGCAGCATAGGTCATAAACCCTCTAAAAGTCATGTCAAAATACTTTAGGTACATGTCAGGTACTTCTAATCACCCTAATTCAAGGGATCATTTTTCGAGGAAGTTTGGTTTTGATTGTATAAAAAATTTGATAGTATTAAAAATGGTCTGAAATGCGATGACTGGCCAGGCGTCAATACCACGGCTCCATCTCAAAATTGCTACTGCGCAGACTCTGCCTCCAATTGGTGCAAGATGCAGCTTTTCATATCCAGGATACAAATCTAAATACTTAATTTCTGGAAGTGGAAGTGTGTCTGGTGTGTATCCACAGCTGTACTTTCATGTTGTCAAACTTAATCCAGTCATCTGATCAACCATTTTATAACCTGGAGTCACCTGAAGCTAAAGCAGCAGAACAGAGGAGGAATAATTGAGTGTTATTTGGCTGATTAAACTGTAACTGTCATTGAGAGAACATATGGACTCTGGAAATTGTCTGAATTATCATCTGAGGTGTATTCACTCACAACAATGTTCACAGTTGAATGATGAAATTTGTATGAATGATTGTTTTTGAGAGAGACCGCATGAAAGCTTTCATCAGGCCAACAAAGAGATTCACATAACAAAGAGAGTGTGGTGGTTGAAGCTGTAATTTGCACTCCAGTAGGTCTTCCCCTGATATAACAGGGTTCCAGACTCAAAGCGGAGACCATGACGGGGGATTTCAGTCAAAGCAAGAATGAATGGTAGACTAATGAAGACTGAACAGAAGGTGATAAACTCCCTTCAGACTTACCTTCCATAAGTGGTATTGGTCCCAACTGACTTTTAAATTAGAAGCTGTGCATCCTTTAATCCACTGTGATGAACAACTTAGAATACATCACCATATTTATGACTCCAGGAGGAATAACCACAAAAAAGGTGAAAATGAATTACAAGGTACAGAGCTAGAGAGCAAAGTGAGAAATTGTAGCTCTCGCAAAGACAATGGATAAAACTAACTCCTAGAAACTCGAGATCAAATGAGAAAAGAATAAAGTATGAGCTAACACCCTCAACTAAAGAAGGAGCAGATGCGGGGGGGGGGGGTATTACCTTAGAATAAACACTAGATACAGCCAGACTGCCTTTGCCCAAATTTTAAACATCCATCAAAGTCTTTGAGGCTCTTTAATCTTTCAATTCTTAGTGTTCAATTTGTTTAATCAGCACAAAACAAGTTTGTGGTTTCTTGGAGTGCAATAGTCTTAACAGCAGTTTATTCTAGACAACCCTAGCAGCTCTTGTTCATCAAAAAATGGATCCAGAACCAGGAGTGGTTCAAGGGACTGTGGAGGCACAAGGCAAAAGGAGCCAATCTTCAAACATTCTTTTAGTACAAGAGTAAAACATAGTGCATACTGTGCATACATATAAATAATAGCAAAGCAGCAAAGCTGAAGTGCAAACCCCACAAGGCTCATGATGCACACACATTTAGATGTTCAGTTCTTCAACCAAACCTCTGACATGACAAAGCTTTTAGCAGAGAGATAGTAACATGGGGCCTTGTCAGAGGGTTTCTGACCATTGTTCCATTGCAGAATTCTGAACCTAGCTGCTAATATTGTAGAACTTAATGGGTATCTGGCAAAAATGTCATTGTTGTGGACTAATTGGATGTCCTCAGGGGGCCCCCCTCTCAGTTTGGGGCCCCTCGCAGTTGCCTCTTGCTTACTGTTGCAACGCCACTGTGCAGAAAACTCCATAACAGGGCTGAGCAGCAAAACAAGAGCAATAATTATCGTAATATAATTATCAATTGCAATATAGCAAAGGTGTCAGTGTCGATATTATGCTTTGTGTAAGGTGAGGACAAATAACACATAATTGAACTGCCTTTTAAATGTTTTGCTGTTTATTGCATATCTATATCTTATTTACAACCTTCACACCAAGACCAGTAGAGAAATAATAATGCAACATTTATCATGATAGTATCATGTCGTGACTGATCCTGCAATTCAAAGAGTTGTTAAATGTGCAAAAGGTCTCATGGAATAAGGAGCACTGCAAATGTAGACTTTTCTTTAGAATAGTAAATAACACTTTAAAACAGCAGTGACACAACAGTACTGAGTGTGACTCATTTTACACCACAGCCTGGTCTCATGTCTCACTACCTTGAAGTCTGATCTTACTCACTGGTGGAAGATCTCTCTCTTTTCCTCTCTCTCCATTTGCCTTTCTAATCATCCCTCCCTCTCTCTCTGTCGCACAATTTATTTACTTCCCTCTGCGAAGCTCCCTCAATATTCCTCCCTCCATGCTCCACACAGTGACAAAATGGCTTCATTTTCTCGACCTCAGAAGCTAAAGGGAATCGATTGAATGACTCACAACTCTCTCGCACACATCTTAAGATCCTTAATTTAATCAAAAGGACAGCGTGATTTGGTTATGCGTGAAATGCCGTGGTTTATCTGCCCTGAGATATTCGGAGGCTAACAGTGTGTACTGTGCTCATTGTGCTCGGAGCACGGGTCATAAAAAACCCATTTTATTTTGTGTCTATACTCCTGAATGTTACTATTGAGCACAGGCACCCAGAAGATGTCGGATATGACCTTTAACCCTGTCAGTTTCATCCACTGTGAGGGCAGGTGACTGAATATTTAAGGCTGGTGCATAAATTGGTTATTTTCAAATCTGACATGAAGATGCTGTTAAATGCATTTCATGTCATTGGCTGAATTACAATTACATGTGAAATGTTGTGAGCTCTGTGGTCTGATTATTAATCATGTTCGTTTCAGAGTTGCATTATTTAAGCCTAAATAATTGAATGAGTTTATGGTCATGGTTTTCATTCCAAACTTAATCAAGGTCTGAGCGAACACCCAGAGTCCCTCCAGCTCACCAGCATCCCCTGTATTTAATCGGTTAATGGACCCTACAGGGCAAACTCATTTAGCACAGAGTGCATGAAAATAAGTTAAATAAATCAATCACGAAACTTTGTTTATCATCTGAACTTGCATTGCTACATGTGCTGATTGTGTTTGGGGATGTTCTTAGAAATGAGAGGAGCATAAACAAATCAGGTTATTAACTTCAACATCCCAAGGTGCTACTTTGCCAGCATTGTAAAGAAAATTTATTAAATGATATGATCAGCGGAAATTGAATAATTAACCCAAAATTGAATTGAGTCCTCAATATTTTTCCACATTCTGATACTTGTAAAGGCCAAAAGGAGAGCAATAAAGAATGTGCATTAAATCCTACAGGCTATAAGTTGAGTGTGAATTTGAGTGAATTTGTAATATGCATATAGCTACTGGTGATTCTTGGACTTTAAATGACTAAGTGGGTTTGAGGGAAAAAAGCAATTAGTAATCAGACAGGTGTCTGCCTGGAAAGATTCCTGAAATACCCTGCTGGTCTGCTAAGGTGTGTTGCCAGTGGGCACATTTTTAATTGTTACCAGGCGGTCAGGAAGCTTTCCCTCTGCCTGAGTGTCCCCCTCCCCCCGTACATTTTTTAATTATCTGGGACAGTTTACTAGGTTTACTAGGTTAAATCACCCTGGAAATTATCCTGTGTCTCAAACCTCCAGAGCAGGTTTACTTCAGAGGAACAGATCCATGTTTGTGAACAGCCCAAACTCACCAATCAGTTCAGCATCAAACCCACGTCATCACGTAGAATCCTGGACAAAGGACAAAAGAGTTGACAATAAAGTGACAAATGTTAAAGAGCGATAGATATTTTAATAGATAGTTTTGCTGTCCGCACAGCTGTCTATCCTGGCTTAGTTTA